GCCTCGCCTGCCTTGGGCTGAGCTCCGCCATTTCTCGGCACCCTGGGCTGAGGAGCGGCCCCGGCGCTGGGCCCGGCCCGGGCAGGAGGCCAAGGAAGCGCCGCTGCGCTGAAGCGCCGGGAGCTCGGGGTGCCCGGGAGCTGAGGGCGCTGGGAGCTGGGGGTGAGTCCGGGATGGAGCAGGGCATGCCGGAGCGAGGCCAAAACTGTGATTCTCCTTCCTCTCCCGGGCGGGGAGCAGAACACACAAGGAAAGGCTCGGGGGTCGGGATGAGTGTGGGGACAGTTTAATCCTTGGTCACGGGCACAGCACACCTGACTTGGGGAAATTAATTGAATTAATTTATTGCCAAACGTATCATAGCAAGAAAACGAGAAGCAAAGTAATTCCTACGGAAATCCATCTTCCCCCCAGCTGTCCCTCCTTCCCGGGCTTAACTTTCTGCCCCTGTCCGTCCCCCTCCCCGCCCAGAGGCACAGGGATGGGGGTCACAGTCAGGTCATGTCACTGCCTCCCCCTGAGGGCCAGGAATCCTTGTCCTGCTGCAGCCTGGGGTCCCTCCCAGGGGACAGAGTCCCTCAGGAGCAGGCTGCTCCAGCGGGGATCGCCAGGGGGATCCCCGAGTCCGGCCAGGAGCCACTTCCATGGCTCTGCAGGGGCTTCCCCCGGGCTCGGGGCCTCTCTCAGGCACCCCCTGCTCCGGCCCGGCCTCATTGCCCCCCTCACCCCCCCATGCAGCGAGTGCCCGGGCAGGGAGATCCACGATTTTCACGGGGCTGAATCTTGGTGTTTCTGAGCTTTATTGGGCTGAATGTTGGTGCTTTGTTTTTTTGTGGGGGCAGAATCTTTCTATTTTGGGGGGATATCAGATTTTTGGTGTTTTGGAAGTTTTTGATCTCTTTTGATGTTTGGAGGATGTTTGGGCTGAATCTTGTTGTCCTGGAGGTTCTTCCAGACACAAGATGCCCAGTGACTTCCTGAGATGAACTTGGGCAAGGAGGAACCCACAGCTCAAGGTGCTCTCCTCTTGTTTTTTCCCCCAAACCAGGATTTTTCATTCCTAAGCCGTGGCTGGATGGAGGAGGAGGAAAATCCCTGGAGATGCCGCACGAGGAGGGTCTGCAAACCCAGTCCAGGGAGCTGTGGGGAGGAAAGATCCCCCCTATGCCAGGAAAATGGCCAGAGAACCCGCCAGAGCTCAGAGCTGGGGGAGAAGCCTCATGGTGGGGAGAAGCCCTGCAAGTGCTTGGAATGTGGGAAGAGCTTCAGCTACATCTCCAGCCTGAGGGAACACCAGAGGATCCACACGGGGGAAAAGCCTTATGAGTGTGGCAAATGTGGGAAGTGCTTCAACCAGAGCTCCAACCTGAGGGCACACCAGAGGAGCCACAGTGGGGAACGGCCCTACACCTGCCTGGAATGTGGAAAGAACTTTGGGTGGAGCTCTGACCTGAGAAATCACCAGCTTATCCACACTGGGGAGAGGCCCTACGAGTGTCCTGAGTGTGGGAAGAGGTTTCAGCGCAGCTCCACTCTCATCAGACATGAGCGGATTCACACAGACGAGAGGCCCTTCCGCTGCCCCGACTGTGGGAAGAGCTTCAACCGCAATGGCACCCTCACCATCCACCGGCGCATCCACACTGGGGAGAGGCCCTACGAGTGTCCCCAGTGTGGGAAGAGCTCACGGAGCTCTAACTTGACCCAACACCAACGGGGGCACCAGTAAGGGAAGCCCTGCGAGTGCCCCAAGTGCGGGAAGAGCTTCGTGCGCTGCTCCAGCTCCATCCCCCATGGGAGGATCGGCGTTGGATGATCCCCAGTGACCTCCGTTGGGCAGAGCCCTGGTGATCCGTGGTCCTGGTGATCGGTGTTGGGAAGACACCTGGCTGGGAGGCTCCACATCTTCCTGGCTCCCTGTGGGCACCTGGATGAAAGCAGGGGAATTAAAATCCATCAGGACACAAACCAGTAATAAGAATTCCTTTGGGAGAGCAGATTTGTTGACTTTCAATCCCAGAAAACTGTTTGTTAGAAGTAACGGAATTCACAAGCCCTATTTGTTACAATTCAACATTTTCCCAACACCTCTCCTTCCTTTTCTGAGAATTCAACACAAACTTAGAGTCAAAAAGTTTTCCAAGTGCTCTTGCTGCGTGGGGCCACATTGTGTCGTCCATGCAGAAATTAATGAAGAAAACACAAATTGCCCACTGAGACCCTTCTGCTCCCTTCCAAATCACTACTCAAGAACAAGCCTCAGGCACATGCCCATAGTCCCTCTCTGCCAGCAGCTCCGAGCTGCATTGCACAGTGCTTGCTGTGCCCCAGAGAGCACCAAGCAGGCTGGCCTGGTGCCCCTGAATATTTCTGCAAAACCCTCTGCATTTCACACCTTTGCTGTGGCTCAGTGCAGAGCTCCAGGATTGCAGGCGCTTGGTCCCAGAGCTGTGTGAGGCACTGGCTGGTGCAGATGTGCCCTGACTTGCTGTCAGTGCCTCACGCTGGCCTCGGTTCCCCTGGCAGAAATGCCGTGCCTGAAGGACACTGCCCTGTGCTGGAGCCTGCGGAGCAGCCCGGCTCCCTCCCCCTGTGCCCAGAGTGCTGCACACACTGCTGACCATTGCCAGCAGTTCCAGGGCAGGCGGCAGAAGAGCAGGAATGGTCAGGCAGGGCACCAGCCCTGGGCTGCTGTTTGCCTTTCTCTCCTCCTGTGCAGACTCCAGACAGCCCATGGCACCAGTGTGTGCTGTGCCCAGCACGGCGCCGCTTCCCCTCAGGAGCAGCCAGCTGCCAGCTTGGCTCTGAGAGCGCAGGATTTGCCTGGTGCCAGCAAGAGGCAGCCAGGGCCAGGCTGCTGCCTCTTGCAGCTCCAAGGGCCTCCTTCCAGCCTGCCTCTGCCGAGGCTCAGGCTTCTCCGGGCTCTGCCAGGGCTCTGCTGGGGCTCCAGCCTGGCCAAGGCCGGGCCCGCTCTCACCTCACAGTCGCTGACAGCTCTGCACCACAGGAGACCTTGCACAGCACCCTCACTGCTCTTTCTGCTTTCTCTCTTCAGCCAGACTCTCCTCCAGCCAAAGAGATTGCACTTAGAGATACAAATCCAAGTGGCAGGAACCCAAATACTCTCGAGTCACATGTGCACAGCCTGCATCTGCACAGGGTGTTTGCGTTGCACCGCTCCTCCTTTGGTTTTTCCTGCAAATGCCATTGCTGTTTCTGCCTCAAATAGAAATGCCAGAGCTGGGAAATACTTGTCCAGTTGGCCATATTCCAAAGGCAGTGTGGTCTGGAGAGGATGAGAGGATGAATGAAGAGGAGCCTTCCCCACTTACAAACCATACCAAAGAAGCCATCAATGTCACTTTCCACCTTGTCATGGGGTGACTTTATGATACTCGTATTCCCAGTCGCCTGGTTTATGTTACATATTAAGTTCTGCACCTTTAAGACTGGCTCTTAGAGTGATGGGGGGCAGAAGAAGCGTGCAGTTTGTGTTAAAAGAAGACATCACTGCCCCGTATCTTGCTCCTGGACTGTGGTGTCTGCAGCACGGACAGACAGCGGGACAGAGCTTCTCTTTGGCTTTTAGTTAGTTTTAGCTAGCTGAGGCAGAGGAGCTCCCTGGACTTATTTTCCTTTTTTCTTGGATCTGTGCAAACCTGCTCTGGACTGAAAAACACCCAGCCAAACCCCAGGAGCTCACGCCTGTGGCCCACTGGGGCCTGGGCCTTGGCACTATCCAGTGCCGGAGGAACTGATAAGAACCTGAGCAAGCCGAGTTAAACCACATGAAAAGGACTTTTCTTCCTGGATTTACCATTTCATCAAACAGTGAGAGGTTTTACTGTTCAATATTATTCAATTTCCGTTAAATAAACAGTTTTTTCCACTTCTCTCCAAAGAATTTTTTTTTCCCGAACCAGTAGGGGGGAGGGGTCGTTTGAATTTTGCTTTCCTGGGGGAACTCCATTTAGAGGTTCTCTCCCAAATGTGCCCTAAACTAGGACACATGGTCATCTCATGGTCACAGTCCTCTCATGGTCATGGTCATGGTCATCTGTTAGTCTCAATATTTCATGTTCATGGTCATCTCGCAGTTGTAGTTGTGTCATCATCACAGTCATGGTCATTTCCTGATCACCATCATTTCATGGTCGTTGTCACCCCATGGTCACAAGCATTTCATAGCCATGGTCATATTGTGGTCACCTCATGGTCATCTCTTAATCCAAATCATCTCATGCTCATGGTTGTGTCATGGTCATTGCATGGTCATGGTCATCTCATGGTCATTTCATGGGTATCTCATGGTCATCTCATGGCCACAATCACATCATGGTCATCTTACAGCCATAGTTGTGCCATAGTCATGGTTATTCCATGGTCGTGGTCATCTCATTGTAATGACCATCTCATGGTCTTGATCACCACATGGCCATGGTGTGCTGTGGTCATCTCTTGGTCACAATCACCACATGCTCACGGTCATGTCATGGTCATCTCCTGGTCATGGTCATGTCATTGTTACCTCATGGTCATCTCATGGTCAGCTCGTGGCCACAACCACATCATGGTCACCTCACAGCTGTGGTCGTGTCATGGGCATGGTTATCTCTTGGTCAACTCATAGTCAGAATCATGTCATGATCTCTATCCTTTCATGGTTGTGGTTGTATTATGGTCACAATCATGGTCATCTCATGGCCTTGATCACCACATGGCCATGGTTGCGTTGTGGTCATGTCTTGGTCACAGTCATCACATGCTCATGATCACCCCATGGTCATGGTCGTGTCATGGTCACATTCACGGTCATCTCACTGTAATAGTCATCTTATGATCATGAGTGTGTCATGGTCATGATAATCTCACGATCATCTCATGGTCTTGATCATCTCATGGTCACAGTCATCTCACTGTAATGGTCATGTCCCAGTCACCTCACGATCATGGTCACACATGGTCATGGTGTGTTGTGATTATCTCATGGTCATCTCTTGGTCACAGTCATCTCATGTTCTTGGTCACCTCACAGTCATGGTCATCTCATTGTAATGGTCATCCCATGATCATGGTCATTCCATGGCCATGGTTGTGTCATGATCACAGTCATGGTCATTGCATGGTTATGGTCATTTTATGATCATCTCATGATCAACTCATTTGCCACCATCATGTCATGGTCATCTCTCAGTGGTGGTTGGGTCATGGTCATGGTTATCTTATGACCTCACGCCCATTGCATGGTCATTTCCTGATAGTCATCATCTCATCCTCTCAGTCATCTCATTGTCATGGTCATCTCATGGTCACAATCACATCATGGTGACCTCATGACCATCTCATGTTCACAATGATCTCATGAGCATGGTCATCTCATGGTCATCTCATGGTCATCTCTTGGTCACAGCCATCACATGCTCAAAGTAATGTCACATGCATGGTCATCTCATCATGATGGTCCATGACCATGGCTGTGTCATGGTCACAGTCAGGGTCGTTGCATGCTCATGGCCATCTCATGCTCATGGTCATCTCATACTCATGGTCATCTCATACTCACGGTCATCTCATGGTCACAATCACGTCATGGTCATCTCACGGCCATTCATAACATGGTCATTTCATGGTTATGGTTTTGTCATGGTCAAGGTCATCTCATGGTCACAGTCATTTCCTGATCACCGTCCTCTCATGGTCAACTCACAGTCACCTCATGGTTACGATCATCTCACATCCATGGTCATGTCATGGTCATGTCATAGCCATGTCATGGCCATGATTCTGTTTTGGTCTTCTCATGTCACAGTCATCTCACTGTAAGGGTCATCTCACAGTCACCTCATGATCATGGTCACACATGGCCATGGCCATCTCAAGGTAATCTCTTGGTCACAATCATCTCATGCTCATGGTCACCTCATCGTCCTGGTTATATTGTTGTAATGGTCATTCCATGGTCCTGGTCATCTCATGATCATGGTCATGTCATGGTCAGTCATCTCATGGCCATTTCATGGTCATGGTCATTTCCTGATCACCATCATCTCGTGGTGATGGTGATCTCATTGTAATGGTCATGGTTCTGTCAAGTTCATATCATGGTCATGGTCATCATATGGTCATAGTCATTTCAAGGTCATTTTGTGTCATGGTCATCTCATGATCATCTTGTGGCCATCTTATGGTCACTATCCTTTCATGGTCTTGATCCTGTCATGATCATGTTGTGGTTATCTCACGGTCATGGTCACCCCACAGTCATCTCAAAATCACCACATGGTCACAATGGTCTCATGGCCATGGTTGTGATGTGGTCATCTCATGGTCATCTCTTGGTCACAATCATCTCATGTTCATAGTTGCCTCATTACGGTCATCTCATGGTCATTGTATCATGACTATGGTCATCTCTTGCTCATCTCATGGTCTTTATGACCCCATGGCCATGGTTAAGTCATAGTCACCTCACAGTCATCTCATGACCTTGATCACCTCATGGTTGTGTCATGGTCATGAAATGCTCATGGTCATGAAATGCTCATAGTCATCTCGTGGCCATCTTATGGCCACAGTTATGTCACGGCCACAGTCATAGTCATGTCATGGTCATGGTCATTTCCTGAGCACCATCATCTCATGTTTATTGTCGTCTCCTGATCACAATCATCTCATGTTCATGCTCATGCTCCTCTCATGGTCACGATCTCATGCTCATGGCTGTGTCGTGGTCATCTGACTGTCACAGTCCTCTCATGGTCATGATCATCTCATGGGCATGCTCATCACACGGTCATGGTCACCTCATGATCAACTCTTGGTCAACTCATGGCCACAATCATA